ACAAATCTTTTCCAAAACCGGAAGAAACTCGCAATAATTTAAATGGCAAAAGGTTAAATAGGAAATTGTTCCTCAATTCATAAATTTAGACGTTTGGAATTTGTAGATCTCGTGTGATTCTTTAAACAAAAAAATTTTTTTTGTTTAAAGACTGAACTAAGTATCTAGGTTCATTTCTGTGTTTGTTGTTTATTTTGTTGTCTGAATTTTTCTTTGTTCAATTAGAATTATTATCTTTAGTTTTAATTGTTTACTGTACGTAGAGTATGCTTTTTGTTTTCGTTCTTTACTTAATTGGAATATATTTTTAGTTGTGTATTTAATGTGAAGTTGTTATTTAATAATAAAATTTAAAGGTAATTATGGTAATAGACCTATCGTTAAAAAATACAAGTTTAAGTTACACTTAATTGCTAATTTAATATCCTGTATCGAAAAGTTCTATTCTGTCTCCCTTTCTTGAGTTATAACTCATCATATGGCTTTGACAAATGGTAGTATCTGAGATTTCTTTACAGAGGTTAGTTCTCCATCTCCGATGTCGTTTATGGCACAAACGGTTGTTTTCTCGGCGCACTCAGTGGTAAGGTGTTCTGGTATTTCCTGATTCTACACACAGAATCTGCATTCGCCGTTGTTTCTTAGCTTTAATCTATTGAGGCGTTCATTGAGGAGATAGTTTCCTGTTAAAAACCCCGTGAAAATCCGAAGAATGTTCTTACTTATCTAGGAAAGTCTTTGATTTTTCTTGGTTGTAAGTTCTGAGAAATTTATTCAAGTGTCTTAGACCGTTGACGGACTCCATTCCAGGTTACGGATAGAGTCTTCAAGGTTCTTGAGTTCCGCTTTAAGTTGGTTTCCGCTTGGGAAGCAGAACGGTTCTGGTTCAGTTGGTGGAGTGTTAGCTCCTTTTCTAGCTTTTTCATTACCTTCTATCCTTTGGTGGGTTGGCCCCAGACCCAGACTAGGAAGACTTCATTTTCCTTGCCTAATTTGTTCAGCTTTTCTAGGAATTCTGTGATCAACTTCGAATTAATGGTTACTGAGTTGATCGCTTTTAATGCTGCTTGACTATCGGATGAGATGGCTATTCTTATTTCCAATAGTTCCTATCTAAGGTAAGTTGTACGCACCTTTCGATAGCCTAGATTTCTGCTTGAAGGATGCTGGGGTAGGTACCCATTGATTCGGAGTATTTAGTTTTTGCTCCAAATACTCCTATCCCTGTTCGTGCTTTGGTTTTGAAAGCATCATTATTTATTATGGTAGATATAGTATTTTACCTGCTGAGCAAATATTTCTGTCTTTTATCATTCTTCTCTCCTATATGATAAAAATCCTATATGGGTATTTCGCCATTGCAAGAAAACCTACAAAATAAAATAGTTATTATTTGTAAACACTGCTGCGTTAATCCAAACGGACGCTACTTGTCAGCAGTTAGGTTTACAGATATACAAATTTGCCTAACGAACAAAAAAATGCTTAACGTTTCGAAAAGTTTATTTCTCGGTTTATCTCTTTCCGTCGTCGGCAGCAAAAAAATACAAAGAATACAATAAATAACTATTAGTGGAGTGCCCAGAGACTACCTCGGAATTATATTACTGTGAATGTATTAATATGAAACCTTCTCTATTGTATTTTATAGATAAAATACTAAAATGTTTACCCATTTTTTTTCGTTGCTTTTAATTTTTTATATTAGTAATTTTAGTAAATTCTTAGTTATTTCCTTCTTTCCTATTTTTTTTTCAATTTTTTTTTCTAAGCATATGTATTGAAATAAATGAATCTAATGCATAAGCTATACCTATTCTGCTTGTATTCTAATCATTGAAATTTTGATTGAAATCCAATTATGCAGGGTGGCGCCTCTCGTGCGCCGCGGGAGCTCCAAGGAGAACGGTAGTTTATATCGAAATGAAATTTTGGAAGCAGATGTAGGTTAACTGAAAGCATTTTCGAAAATTATATAGAGTTCTATAGGGTGTCCCCAAAAAAAGTTACACATCAAAGTTGTTTTTTTTTATAATGGAACACCCTGTATATTAATTGATTTTCGGATTCTAGGGAAAAATTAAAGGTGAGTTTCATTAGAAAAGTATATAACTAAAATGTAAAGATTTTGAAATATTTAGCATTTTCTAAAAATGAAGAATACATTTCAAATTTTAATTCTTTATCCTTAAAAATTCCCTTAATATCCATAATTTGAAGTCTGAAAAACAACTGGCTACTGCGTCGGATAATGGATCCAAGTTCGTAAAAGCTTTTAAGCAATTCAGACTACAACTGGGTATGAAATCCTAGAAAAAAAATGGGAATTTAGGATTTAAAAATATTTCAGCAAATCTGGAAGGAATGGAATCTAATATCACAATCTCATTACCTAAACACATTCGATGTACTTCACACACGTTGAATCTTAGTGCCGACTACCAATATAAAAAATATAATTCAGAAAGATGTTACATTGAGGTTTCGTCATACAAATATTTTGGCAAAATGCAATGTTCTGTGGAAAATGGCAAGTCGACCAAGCACAGAAATTATTCAAGAACACTTAGACCACACATTAAGTTATCGAGGGCCAACACGCTGGAATTCTCTGTATGATGCTCTAACATTAATTATTCAAGAAAAACTGTTTAATACAGCTATTCGAAAAGATGGGCATTAAAAATCAGATGTTCAGATATGCTGAAATTGCTTATTTAACTGACTATATAGGTAATACCTTTCTACCGTCATCGGCACCCGTTGAAAGACTTTTCAGTTTTGGCGTAATAGTAAATGCACCTCGAAGAGACGCTCTTTGTGACATACACTTTAAACAAGTAGTTATCCTAAAGTCAAACGGTAAAGAACTGATTGCATTGAAGTAAAGAAATATGAGTACTTATTGTTATAGTTAAAGTTCAAGTTAGCTCATTTATAGTTTTAAAAAGTTTATTATCAATACTTATTTGTAACTACATTTTAGTTAACATATTTGTTACAATTATTTTTATTGTTTTTCTGCAGTTCACATAATTTTTATTTTTACTTCCAATCCTTTAAGTACTTCATAAATCCATGAAATAAACGTGTGATATTTGATACTTGAAATACTTTTTTCCAGTACTTGTGACAGCCCAACCCTGTATCGTGAAATGTAGTGTCTTTCAAAATATTACAATATATATATAATATAAAACAGGTATTTTTGGAACCGGAATTTTATATCAAATTCACTGAACTAAACAAATATAAAATATTTCATTTGAAATACTAAAACTTAAGTGTAAAAATATATTTGACTCACCCTGTATATCTTGAAAATATTTTTGAAATGTGAACTACCATTACACACATATTTTGTAAAAGGTTTGGAGTGAAAATCTCAAATAGGAGTCCTAATACAGAGCTTTTTCGGAACACGGAGCCATCTTGTATGTATGCATATTTAAATATCTATTATATATATATCTTATTAACAATACAATGCAAAAAGTTTTATCAAAATTCCTTCACAGTAATTGAATTCCGAGGTTTGTATCCCACAAGGGCTTAAGGTACTCCACTATATTTTATTTTGTAGATTTTCTTGAAGTGGCGAAATACCCATATAGGATTTTTTGGAGAGATAGGTACAGACACAGGTTTGGAGATAGCCACATAGGTATAGACATTTTTTACTAATCATTCTTGTTACCTAATAATGCTTTAATTTTATGCTAATGATATGCTAGTACTTGGATGGATAAATAATACAGCTGAATCAACAGATCTTTGCGTGCGTCATCCTTTGTTTTTAACTTTAGCTTAATTCGTATGTCGGATAATAATGAATAATTATTTAAATAAATAAAGCACGTCTGAGTACCGGATGGGGATCAATTCCTAAATATTAATTAGACGTAAATATGAAAGAGTACTTAACGTTTTAAAATGAACACAGTCTTCTCCCCCCTGGAATTAATTCCATATTTCTTCGTTCCCGTACTAACCTTAAATCTCCCTTATCACGATTTCCTCACAGGAATGCCTTTTCATTATCCGCCGTGGCTGTTTATTAGATTTTACAGATACCAAAGGAACGTTCCTTCCCATTTTCCTTCGAGAGGCTTTAAATTAATTTCTTCCCTGGCATTGGAACGATATTTTTCCTCTAAAGGATTTTGAACCGAGAATCGTACGTATTGATATCGAGTAATAGATTATTTACTGTCAATGGAAGCTGTAATTCTTTCCAGCATATTAGAAAATACGTGTGATATTTTTCGTCGAATAATACAGAAATTGAAAATTATATATTTCTGGATAGGATATAGATATGGATTGCATACGAAGGCGATAGTTAATCACTGCGGCCTTATAAATCTGTTGTGTCTCCCTTTCTTGAGTTATAACTCACCATACAGTCTAAGAGCTTTGACAAAAGCCAGTATCTGAGATGGTTTTACAGAGGTTAGTTCTCCATCTCCGATATCAGTCGTACCAAAGTTTATGGCACGAATGGTTGTCGTACCGGTGCACTCAGTGATGAGGTGTTCTGGTGTTTCCCCATTTTACATACAGAACCTGCATTCGCTGTTGTTTCTTAGCATCAATCTAATGAGGTGTTCACTAAGGAGTCAATTCGGTTTTTGAACATGGAAATATAAGAAGGGCAATAATTGTTGCTATAATTACAATAATTTATCACAAATTTTTACTGAACAGTAATTGCTGTTCTTGATTCACATCTTGTTTGAATCAAAACTCCTGTGAAATTATATTATTATATTTGTACTAGTGATGGGAATACCTGTTCCACATGAGTCGCGTTACAATAGCGACACATTCCAGAAAAATACCGCGATTTTGTAACCGAGGTTCCGACTTCCAAAGTGTTGCGGTCCTCGTAAAAATATATCTAACTTATCTATATTTGTGTTGGGGGAGGCGTACTCCAGGGATCGGTTTTGGGTGCTACCCTTTGGAACATCCTTTACGATGACGTAATGAAAATAAGGATGCCTCAAGGAGTAAAAATAATCTGCTACGCAGATGATCTGGCTGTATTAACCACAGCTGAAACCTCCGAAGGAATGATACGCAAAACCGAAGAGGCTTTATACTATATATACTTGTGGATGAATCAAAACCAGTTGGAAGTTGCACCAGAGAAAACAACTGCTATTCTTCTAAACCGAAAGACAAAGATAGGTGGTATACAATTTAAAGTCGGTGGGAAGTACGTTAAACCAACTAAATACAGTGAAATACCTCGGAATAATACTAGATATTGGGCTAACTTACAGTCAACATGTAAAAGATGCTTGCGGAAAAGCAAACAGAACTGTCAAAGCTATATGTGGACTACTTCCGAACCTAAAAGGACCGTCCTCAAAAAAAAGAAAAGTTCTTGCGGTATCAATGCAAAATATAATTCTATACGGCGCTCCTGTATGGGTCGAGGCACTAAAATTCCGACGGACGAAAAATATATTGCTTTCCAACAGAGAAAAATGGCCCTAAGGATCTGTTCAGCGTATCATACGATATCAACAGATGCCGTGTTGGTTATAGCTGGACTGATCCCGCTGCATTTAGCAGCTGAGGAAAAGCGAGAGTTATATGTCAAAGCAGAGATTAACGATGAGGTGAAAAACTATCAACGACGAGGTACCTATCAAAAATGGCAAGAGGAGTGGGATACATCCGACAAGAGAAGGTGGACTAGAAAGTTAATACACAACGTGGAGGACTGGACAAGTAGGAAACACGGAGACGTGGACTATTACATTACGCAGTTTCTTTCCGGGCATGGAGTCTTCATGGACTTCTTGCACAGAATAAAGAAAATACGAAATGGCAACTGCATGTACTGCGACGAAATCGACGATGCCGAGCACACGTTGTTCTGTTGTCCGAGATGGGAAAACGGAAGGTCTGCCTTATTGTCGGATGTAGGAATGTTAACTTCGGACACCTTGATTATGAAAATGACCAAAACTAGCGAAATATGGGGAAAGGTAGAGGCATTTATGAAAGAAATAATAATAGAGATAGGAAAAGATGAAAAGGCAAGAAATCCTAAAAAAAAATAGAATAGAATATAGATAAAAAATAACATAGATAAGATATAAACCCCAAGATCACGTACGAACCCGAAGTAATGCCATGCGGCGGTTTCGGGTAAGGGGGAGAGGAGGAGCTGACTCCTCGGAGGTGGACTTTTTAGTGGGTAACAATTCGACTCCCACACTGTTTGGGGTTCGTCTCTATGATCTCTATGAGATGGTGATGGGAACGAGCACCACTCGCCTATAAAAGGTTTTTTACCACCCCCTCAAAAAAAAAAATCTATATTTGTAGATTAATGTAACTTTTATCCGCCACTCATTTTCCAGATATCGAGTTTATAATTGTGTATAGCTAATCTATCTCATTTTTAGAAAAACTATGACATTCCTTGTTATTTTTTATCTTTGTCAATTTTCGTTTAAATAAAATGAACGGCTCACATTTATGTGTTGCAATATAATATATTTAATGTTAAAATCAAGAGCAAAGTCCAAACCACTGTCAAAAAAAATTGTTTATTGGTCTAACCTAACCTTAAAAATAGATATAAACAATAAAACTTATATAAATGTATAAAAGCAAATAAAATATTTTTATTTTATTTTATTTGCTTTTGCGTTTCATCTTTCAAACAACACTATTTTATGCCATGCCTAGTACATACAAAAAATCGCTATTTCGAAAGTAACGTTGTTACGGGAACACCAACGCCAATAGTAATCGACCAAATCGCGACAGGCAAAACCGAAACCCTTGAAGCGCTCCAGCGACTGCTGGAACGATGTACGTAGCCGCCGAGGTCGAGCGTCGATAGCCAGTTACAGCAGGGACCAGTTACTTCTGTTCGCAACAGACGGAGCTAGGGCTCTAGGAGCACGACGGCTGGAGCGAAGTTACGTCACCACCGAGGTAGAGCGTCGATAATCAGTTACAGCAGTTACTTCTGTTCGCGACAGGGAACTAAAACTCTAGGAGCGCGATGGCTGGAGCGAAGTAGGTCGACGCCGAGGTCGATCGTCTTCTGTTCGCGACAGGGAACTACAACTCTAGGAGCGCGACAGCTGGAGCGAACAGGTCCCGATCGAGATCGCGCGGCGCTACGGACATACCAGTTCCAGATATTACTGTTGGCGACCGACGAAATCGCGACGGCTGGAGCTAAACACGTCGCTATGCGGTTACTACGGTTCGAGCTAACTTCAAGAGCGATTATAAATAATTTATTTGCAAATTATAAATAATTTATAATTTTGTCGTCATTATGATCGTCGTTCTTCAGTAACAGGTTCCTGATTCGTTGTGGAGCGCGACACGACGTTACAAAAAAATACCGCTCCAAAATCGCGTTACTCAAATGCCGACACATCACTAATTTGTACTACACTTTTGTACAATATTGAAATTTTCACAATTCCGGTAGTTGTTTTTTAAACGAAACTTTTTAAAATGATTGTGATAATGATATTATTAAAAACTAGAAATATTAAACAACAAAGGATTACTACTTTATAATATATTATTCAATGTACAGGTTAAATAAGTGCAATATTTTAGGAGGGTCAACACGGTCTATGAGTATTTATGTTTTTTGTAAAAAAATTGATTTTTTTTTTATTTTTGGTTAAAAACATATCTTGATAACATGGCAACATTAGGCAGTACCAACATTAAATTTAGATGAAGGAAAAACAGAAAGCAGCAAATGTTTTCAAAATTTATACATTTTATTATTCTAAATGTAAAATAATTCCGCTATTTTGGACTTATTAGAAAAACGACAAAGAGAAAATGTATTTCTAAAAATATTTACACCTATTTAAGACAGACGCTCCGTATATTCGAAACATGATATATTTGAAATGTTATTTCAATATATACATTTTATATAAACTAGCATAAATGTATAAACACTCAAGAACTTCGAGAAATGCTGATATTTTATTTCATAAGATCTAATAACTATTATTATAATGCAATTTTAAATGTTGTAGTTATACTTACCGGGACCTTTGGCGCCTCCTGACAATAGCCGACCCAAGCGAAAGATGACAGCTCTTTCATACTCTTGTACAACCTGAAACAATAATGCATTCGTTAAAACCAAAATTTAATGCAGAATATCATACTGAAACTCATTTATTGCAATGAATTAATTTCAAGGAAATTAACAGACATGTGGAATTTATAATTAAAACTTTAATTTGGTAGAATTGAAGTTGGTTGACAGGTATAGAAACATAATGCAGTGAGATCATATAACTTTATGACTAAGCGTTATAAAAAACTATTAACGTTCTTTTTGCTGTCATAATGGAACCGCAATCCTGAGCCGAATGGCCTAAACCATCTTAGCGGGTGTCTCAATTGACTCATATAAGATATTCGTCTCTAACAGGGGTGAATCAGCAATGCGTCTCAATATCCTGATCACTCGTGCTTTGAAACGACGACAGCACGACTTTGAGACGTTCATCTGTCTCGATATTCCGATCACCTAATGTCGCATAACTTCGGTGAACTACTTCTTCATTTAGTTGTTAATATAATGGTAAATATAAATGTTAGTTTCAACAATACTTACTGACAAATAGTCACCGTTCTTTCTAAAGTAAATACTATCTAAAAAAAGTATATTATTTAAAAGCGAGTTAAATCTAACATTTAACCTACGTGCTTAAAAAAGGCATTGATTTTTAAGTACACCAATGTTCAAATCAAATATTTAGCTACTGCGAATTAAAATTCCTCTCTGGTTTAAATCTGTCCGAATGGAATAATCTGCTTAAATCTGCTACATGTACAGAAAAATAACAGACAAATCCTCCCCAAAAAATCCACAGATAATCCCTGATACTGTACATTTCTGTAGCTTTGAAAGCTTTACTTTCAATCCCTAAAAAAATACCGATGAACATAAAACCTTTGCTCTCGTAATATTTGATATGATTATTTCATTTAATATCAACCCAATATCTTTGATGTATGGAAATGAAGAGTGCGGGCGGCAAAGGTTTGACCAGTTAGAGAGAAGAATATTCTGATGAGCAGTAAAAGCAACGATCAGGCGAAGTAGTAAAATAAATCTTACGAAAAATGACAACATGCGTGAAATTGACATGTTATGCATATTCAGCATATAGCGATTGAAAGTTTTATTTGAAAAGTAATCGATAGGTGGGACAACTAATACATAACTCGGGATCCCTACTACCAGAAATGAACAGAGGAATTAAGTTAGCATGGAGTGAGTACCTATGGAAGAAACTCAATTATATTCAAATCTAGAATGTCACTCTATCTAAAGAAGAAAACATTCGACCAATGTGTACTACCTGTTATGACATATGAATACGAAACCTGGACAATTAAAACGGACATCATAGTATAGAACTGCAGGTCGCACAACGTCCTATGGAACGAAATATGCTGGGAATACCCAAGAGAGACCGTTCAAGAATAGAGTGGGGGGATACGACAAAAGACCCAGGTAGTAGATGATTATCCACAGAGTCACATCCTTCAAATAGCAATGGGCAGGACACCTGAAAATAAGAACGGACCACAAAAATTACAGCATGGTACCTACGAGGAATTAAGAAACCTATAGAGGAATACCAAACCCGAAATAGGACAATATTAGGAAATTAGAAAGCATAACTTAGGCCCTCATTAGTTCAGTAATATTATGGCTAAAATTGCGATATATCCGACAAAATTCATGGTGCAATTCTCGACAAAAATACCTATATAGAAAATTGTTCTTCATAAAATTCTCTATCAAAAAGATAATTACATTTTTGTTCTAAAGTTAATAATAAAGTGGCAAATAGGGCGCAAATATAAGGGTTGGTTATGACTAGCGCTATCTGCAGTTCAATCTAATTTAAAGTTTAATGTTTAACGCTAACAAAAAGCAGTAACCACTAAATTATACTTAGAATTTTAATATACGTTCTTCTCTCACACTCCCCTACCCCTATAAAAAGGGTGATTTGTACTTATTTCCACATCTCCCTAGATGTAAAGTATTTGATGCGTTTTTTTTTTAAAGTGGTATTCCCTGTAGGCCTAATCCACTAATTAACAAATGTTAACTAGTAATCTTCGTCATCTTCCACAAGTTCAACATTCAAGCATGACTGTCCATGGCAATGATAACACATTGTAAAGCAACGCAAACCTGCCCTTCTGGAGCTACATCTGTATTCGCACCTTAATAAGCACCACCGTGAAATAAGCGTTAAAACAGATGCGGGGGCTGGCTCTTTGTCTATCATTGTTGGGGTTAATATACCGCCAACTTTTTTCCACCCCCACTCAGTAGGTTCGAGCATAACTCCTCTCCATATTTGAATTTGGTGAAAAACCCGATACGAGTGTTGCCGAGCTGCAGCAGAAGTTGGTGGTAGTTTTGACAACATGACAATATTGTTGGCTTTACCAACAAGTTTGTTGAAGTACATAAATCGGTATTCATCTAGACTGCTTTCTGCTGAGGTACAGTTGTATAAAGCTAAAATAAATTGCTCTCCTACGTTTGCAATTTCTTCATGAGTAGATCTCTCATTATTTAAAGTTTGCACAATATGTTGTAAATCGCTTCTTTTAGCGAATACATTGATTGAATTAAACTTTCCTTTGGAAAAAAGCCGAGGTTGTCGTGTCACAACCGCTAATAAATCCTTTTACAAGTATTACCCTGTTTTTCTTTTAAAAATTTGATATCTTTATCAGAGGGAGAAAGAGCAATAAGAAGAACTAGCAGGTCAATATCTTGCCCTACTATAACTGTTGTCTCGCAATTATTAGATTTTTCTATAGCAGTTTGAATTATTAATAAATCGGCGTCATCCGCAGCAATAAATACTATACCTTCTTTCCTAAATTTGTTTACTAGTTCTGTGATTAAACGTTCTTTGTTAAACAAATTACTTAGGAAGTTCTGCTGAGTTTCAGAGACAACAGTATCTCGTCATAGTCAACATAATTTGAGGACAGCTTTTTGAAGTAGCCGCCTCTGTCG